TTTAGCTAGACTTTTCTATAAAGATTTATTATAATATCGAATAGTATCTTTATCGAGTAAAATAAAGAGATCTCTAGAACTTCGATATTATAAAGATATACGCGAGTCGAGAAAGATAATAGATCTCTATATTAAGTATTAAAATTTTATTTCTTTACGGAGGTCTATAATACTTATTCCTTAATTAATTAAATCGTCGTAAAAACTATAAGTACTCTAAATAAGATTTTTTTAAATAATAGAAAGTTCGTTAGTAGTTTATTATTCGTTATGAATTTTTTACGGAGAACGAAGCGAAGAAGAATTTCTTATATTCGATATAGAGGATTCGATTTTTAATAAATTAAACTATCGTTAATAATATAGATTATTTCGAATAATGTAGGTATTTAATAATTTAAATATATAATAAAGCTTCTATATAATAGAAATACCTAGCGTTTTCTTTATTAAACTCGATCGCTTATTTTAAATAGAAAGTAAAAAATACTCGTTATTTATTTATTATACTGGCCGGAAAGGTATGGTATATTCCATGGGATATTCCATACCAAGTGATACCATACCGTACCCGGGTATGGTATGGGTAGGGTCGGATACCATACCATATTTTCTGGTATGGGTTCGGGATCTTGGCGGTATATCCCACGGTATCATGGCTACCACTATCATCTACCATGCCTGCCACTACCATGCCTGCCACTATCATGGCTGCCCCTACCATGACTGCCACTACCATGGCCGCCCCTACCATGGCCGCCCCTACCATGGCCCCCTACCATGCCTGCCCCTAACACCCTCCCTACCATAACTACCACTACCATAACTACTACTATCATGGCTACCATAACCATGGCTATCATATAGTAGTAGGCTATTTCAATAATAAATAGTGGTAGCCATGATAGTGGTAGCCATGGTAGTGGTAGCTGTTAGAATATCAGGTATGTGATGTGAGAACGGACGGATCAATTCTCCAGAACCTCTCCGGGGCCAGGTTCTAAATATAGTACAAAAATTAGGTAGCTGGAAAACATGGTGGCTGGGATGCGCGGGGGCCATATTTCGATGGTAGGCATGGTAGTGGCAGGCATGGAGTGGCAGGCAGGTAGTGGCAGGCATGGTAGTGGCAGTCATGGTAGATGATAGTGGTAGCCATGGTTGGCCAGAATGATGATCAGAATAGCTACTTATACTTCTAAATATAGAAATCTCAGGGGGATATCCCATACATATATCATTCCATGGTATGATACCACAGATATACCATACCGTGGGATATACAAGATCCCATACCATACCAGGTATGGGATCATGCAAATTCAATAACCCATACCATGTCAGAGTATGGTATGGCAGGTCAATATCCCATATCATATCATATCTTTACTTAAATAAAAAGTAAAAAATACTCGTTAATTCTCTTCGCCGAGCCGAGAGGGTACGAAGAAGTCTTATTATAATATTAAAACTAGTATAAATATAATACTAGTATAGGTGAGATAGAACTAGAATAATAAGGCTATCGAACTATATATGTGAAAAGAAGGTATAATATAGTAGAAGATGCCTCCGCCAAGGCCCGCTAGCCATAGGGCTGAGGGCTGAGTAGTATATTAAGGGTACGCTCGTAACTAGAGTGGGGCTGATGTCACGTGGCCTATGACGCTATTCCTCGGGCTAGTGACATATACTTCCCCCACCTCAATTCATATCAAAAATCTTGATTTGGGTATCCACAATGACGATCCACAAAATCACAAAGCTGACATTAGAGTAAGTTCCATTTCGCGCTGGTACGAACACTTGACCCAGAAAATGTTATAGAAGCTTCATATCTGCGCCCCGCCGATCATCAGCAGTGCCCAACGAAAATGGACGACTTGCATTATACACCTTGTCCATATACTCTTTGGACTCTCACTCGGAAGGCAAGGAAATCAGGGTTCTCGACCTTGAGAACGGCACAACGGCTCTCTTTTCCGATGACTCCAAAGTCAAGGACATCCAATGGCTAGGCAATGATTGTGTCCTATGGCTGCGAGAAGCTGAGGGAGGCACAACGGAAGTATGGTCTGGCGTGGTCGTCGGAGAGAAGAAGTATGTCCACTTCCATTAGAATCTCAATGTATTGGCTCAAGTCATCAGTGCATATCTTATTGCCACGATCGATGGTGCTGCCTCCAATCTGAAGACAAAGAGACTCCTCAATGGATCTTTTGCCGTCACCGTGACAGGGAAAGCATCTCTGGACGGAAGCTTCTACAATGCTGAGAAAGCCGTGAAACCCCAGTCTTCTGCTAGAGAATACGATACGTTCCCCGTCCGAGTCTGGGATACTTACCTCACAGCAGAGAAGAGCGTTATCTGGTACACGGTGCTTGAGAAATCTCCCGAGAACATCAATCGCTACATGATTTCACAAACTGGCTTCATCAATGCTCTTCAGGGTACCAATTTAGTACACCCAAACCCTTTCTACGGTGTAGACTCTGAGATTGGGACAAGTGGTATTCTTCTCAATGCAAAGGACCCTTCAGTCAATGCAGTTCTCATGGAAAAGAACAGTCTTTATTTTGTTCCACTGAGCACTTTCAAGGAAGATCCAGCGCCGACACCTCGGACAGTGTCCATGCCTGGATTCAGCGGCACCAGTGGCTCACCAACGTTTTCTCATGACGGTAAATCTGCCGCATTTCTGCAAACAAAGGACTCAAGTAATGCATACGATAATTCGAGTATCATTATTGTGGGTAATATCGACAGCTTAGATCATATGACTGAGGTCGTAACATCCACGAGCAGTGAGAAATGGGATTTACGGCCCGAATCCCTCACCTTCAGCAGCGACGCCAAAGAGCTTTACATAATTGCAGAATCCCGCGGCAGCAAGAGAGTCTTCAAGATTCAAATCAGATCTCACTCAAACAATATCATTTTGGCGATTCCGACGCCAATTACAGCCGAGGGTGTAGTCTCCTCGCTCCACGCTCTCTCCCCTACCCGGCTCCTCTTCACCATGTCAACCATTACTTCCCCCAGCGTCTTTGGAATAATCGACCCGTCAACCGACAATCATACCTGCTCGTTCAGCCATTTACATGACAAGCCCGAATTTGGCTATCGTCCTCCACAAGTCTCCTCAATCGACTTTAAAGGTGCAGGCGACTACAAAGTGCAAGCATTCGTCATCAAACCCTCAGATTTCTCAGAAGACAAGACCTACCCAATGCTCTTCTGGATCCACGGTGGTCCTGTCTATTCGTGGCCGAACGCTTGGAGCTACAGATGGAACGCCGCCGTTTTCGCTGAGCAAGGGTACATTGTCATAATGCCTAATGTCACAGGATCGACGGGATTTGGACAGGGGTATATCGAGGGCATTGTCGGCGAATGGGGTGGTCGCGCGTACAAGGACCTGGTGAATTGCTTCGAGTATGTCAAAGAGGATATGCCCTTTGTGGACACAGAACGCGTTGTAGCCATGGGAGGAAGTTATGGCGGCTACATGGTCAACTGGTATGATTTCCTCCCCTATTTCCTCCATCCCCCACCACAGTGTTGCAAGTTCCACCACCACACGCACACATCAGCCATCAGAAAACCCCACCAACTAACCCTCCACCCCCCAGGATCGCCGGCCAACCTCTCTCCAAAAGCTTCCGTGCCCTCATCTCTCACGACGGTATCTTCTCTTCCCCCAACCTCCTCTCCTCCGACGCTACCTCAACTCTCCCCACCGACTTTCGCGGCCCTCTTTGGTCCCACCAATCCGAATACGACAAATACGATCCCTCCCGCCACACTGCCAATTGGACTACGCCCATGCTGTTTATTCATTCTGACAAAGACTACAGATGTCCGATTACGGAGGGATTGGCAGCGTTCAATGTGTGCCAGGGCAGGGGGGTTGAAAGTAAATTTCTAAATTTTCCGGAGGAAAATCATTTTGTGCTGGGCAGAGAGAACTCATTGAGGTGGCATCAGGTCCTGCTGGGGTGGTGTGATCGGTGGTGTGGGGTTGAGAGGGGAGGGGTGGAGGAGGGTTGAATGGTTAGGGGATGAAGGGGTGAGAGAAAAGCGGACTTGAGACAAAAATTATGGGTTACAGTTCGCGACGTAAGCTTTGGATTAACCTCGAGACATCTAATTAGAACGTGCCGAAATGCTGATGGCAAGACTATCACTGTACGTCCATCTCTGGACCAACGCTTCGACACCCAATAAAGACTCATCATTCATTGCTCATTGGCTCACCACCACCCCCGAGTGCTGCCTTTCCAAGATTGAAAACATACCCTTCAGCAAGCTGTCCCCATCACAGAACAGACTCATTTCCTGTTCTTTGTACTCTCTGCGTCCCATGCTAATGAGCGCTACAAGACGAAAAGTCTTCATCGTTACATCACAGCTCAAAATATGATTTGAGACTTCGTTGATGTGGAAGATTAGATTGCCACTGATACTGACAGCAGTGATGAATATACAGCGAGCCCTAGCTTCCTACTGCGCAGCGGTTGCCATACCGTCCAGGACAGAGGCTCAGAGATCCTGTCTAGGGACTACGCCACCGTATTCATAATCAATCGGAAACTTTGGGTCATCAGGGTCGCTTGCGGTACCTGCAAGAGTGGCGTTGCCTCCATGGCTGATGAGTGCGGCATTGTCAAGAACCTGCGGAGCAGTGGAGGTAGTGCTGTTCACCTAATAAGATTATAAATTAATCATCTAATTATTGATAGAACGGAACCGCGAGAAAAAACGAGTAGTGTAGCTATATTATGTAAATTAAGTCCGAGCGATATAAAAAATACAAGCTGAAATTGATATTCTGAGCCACCGACCCTGCACTCTATCATCTCCGCCCACGATGCTTAGCGTTCCCGAGCCAGCCCCCATACTGCTGCATGAAGAAGCGAGGCTAATCCAATCTCCACGAATTACCAAGTCAATCCCTTTAACTAGCCTAAAGCCCCTCTCCCACCGACTTACATCAATACTCAAGAACTTAGTAGTACAATGATAGTCCAGGCCCCAATCAACCCTGACAGCAACATGCTGAAGTCTCGCTTTCGCCTTCCTGAGCCACCCGTAAAAGCCAGCAGACTACTACCATTCTTTTTTCCAGGGTTACTGACCCCATCCGTTGTTTGGCTAGATAACCCGCCTGAGATCAATTCCGGAAGAGATCCCGAGGAAGAACTGTTCTGCACGGGTATCGTAACAGAGCCAACAATTAGATTAGACGAGTCTAGGGTTATGGGCACGCCGGACAGGCCCTGGATTGCTGGAGCACCAGTTTTAGGCGTTGTGGCGGCTATGGAAACGCCCGTTGCAAGCTCGATTACAGGCTGGCCAGCGATTGTGTTTACCTGAGTCGGGTCGACATCGGCGATCTTGACGATTGACATGTAGCTTGAGCCGCCAAAGTGTAGATTGCTGGACGAATCAAGCGAGTAAGAGGTACCTGAGATGACAAGAGCTGGCGCGTTTGGCGTGAGAGTTGCGGAGTGTATAGATATCCCCGTTGGCAGAGGTATGACTACTTCCCCGTTTATCGTCATGGGTACGGGGCTATCGTTGTTTATACGATAGGAGTGGCCATTCACAAACATGTTGCCCGATGTGTCGACAGAGAATGTCGTACTGGCAACGATCGTTGCAGGACCCCCGTTGTTGAGTGTAAACCCTTGAATGGCGACACCTTTCGGCAAGGGTGTAACCACGTGGTTTGCGATTGCGGTGGTCACTAAGGATACTACCGGCTCAGTGTGTGCTGTTTGACCACCAATTTGAGGATCATTGCTCGAGTCAACAGCGATCTGTTGCCCCCTAACATCGGGTGCGCTACCGCCAGGTCTGATATCTACGCCGTCAATATTGTAGCCCTCAACTGTTGCTAAGACATGATGACTGCCTGATACAGCAGTCATCAAAATTAGAGCTGATGTTGCAAGCGGCTGTGGTTGGTGTACTGTGCCTACATCCTCCATTGAGGGCCCTCCGGATGCATGCATGTTATTTGCTGGCTGATCTAAATCGCTGTTGACCGCATTATTTGGCAACGCATGATTTGTGGGACCATTCTTGAGATCACTGGAAGCAGGCTCCTCCTGTAAAGACTGTCCCTGCAGATCTTCATTGCCTTGATTGTTCGATGAAGGATCGGCCGGAGCTTTCTTCGTACCTCTGAGTGGGTCTGTTTGCTGTGACGGGTCCACTTGCATGCCACCACTGCTATGGCTCTTTGCTAAAGAGGGATCACCTGACGTCTTAGTAGGATCAGCGGGTGTAGTGGTCCTCTTTGGCAAATTCTCTTGTGTCGCAGCAGGCGTTGCTGGCCTTGGATCTGGATTAGGGTTCGACGGCGGAGTCACCTTAGGTACCATCGCGGTTGCTGGATCGAGCGTTCTCGGTGGATCGTAGCCCGTGAAATAGCCTTGGGTGCAAACCTTCCACAAAGGATCCATGTCGAGAAGCTTGGATGGAAAGACGATTAGGGGACGATAAGGCTCCCCAGGTTCTGGTTTATACCACTGACTCCACATGACGCTCATTGGCGGGCATGGCAGGTTATCGAAGTTGTAGATGGATGCCGGAGTAATAGTAGATTCGAGTGCGGGATACATGGCAGTCGCGACGGTCGAGAGCTCTCCTGGAGCAAATGCAACTAGCGTAGAGTTGATGTTATTGCCTCGATACCCACAGGAATCAGTTGCGCTCAGGCTATAAAAGTTGACGTAAATGGAAGGAGAAGTAAAAGTATGACTGCCGGACGTAACAATACTATGTGGGGAGGAGTCATTCCTTATAGTGTCCCACTTCGATCCATTCATCGGGGCGTGGGGCGGGTTTGATATGGCAATGGGATTCGCACGAGCTTGGATCGTTGCTTCCGACGATTCCGCCCGTCGTTGGATTTTCGGCGTGCTCCAATTAGGAAGTGTCGTTGACGGCAAACTCCACATTCCAGGGTTATTACTGGTGCTCGCGCCTGGTTTAGACTCCCAGGGGTTCGACATCGGCATTTTGAAGTAAATTCCGTTAATCGAAGTATACACAATGGTGGTAACAATCTGGTTGTATATGTTGGCATCTATAGGCGTATAGCCCCAGTATGTGTAGCCGCCGGCCGTGGTTGCGCCTTCAGTCGGTGGGTTGACGCTCGTACCAATGATATTCAAGCACGAAGTGTTGGCCTCGGGTGATGGCCAGTAGTACACGTCAACATTAGGACCACCAATCGCGCAAGGCCCGCAGCAACCATAGATGGCGTCTTGTGCTGGCGGCTGGCGGACTGCTGACCCGTATACCAGGGAGGAAGATGCACACGCAGGCTCCCTCATCCAGCCTTTCAGGCTTGACCACATTGATGAGGTAGCAGGCGGTATGCCGGAAATGCCGCCCGGACATTCGGCTGGATCATAGGGAGCCTGTTCTTCATCTATCATTTGATTGAGCCCAACGACTGCATCCACAGCGCTGTCTATAACAGTAAAGCATTCGTTTTCCAACAAGGCCGCTAAAGTCTTTCCGAAGAAGATAGATGCCGCATTTTGCTTGTCGCCGTGACATGTATTGTCCCAAAGGACGCACTCTTCTGAAACATTGAAGTTAGAATCCGGGTACAACGAGGTGCCATTTGCCGTGGTCTGAGGCCCGCTGGCATTCATCGCTCTATCAGAATCTCGACTCCAGAAGTTATACGGTTTGGGGGCAGAGACGGCATCGCCCAATACGCCTCTGTCCAGAAATGCTAGCAGTGCACAACCAACAAATCGATGTGTTCTACACATGTCGTGTGAATCTCAAAAAGTCAAAGTTTAGAAGATTGAAGGCCTTTGAGAAGAACAATCGACATCCCTGATCGCAGACACGTATCACAAAATTCACATAAGAGAAAGAGGAGATGATTCAGATCTACATACTTTTGAATCTGTATGTGCCTCAGTAAAAATTGCTACCCTCCTGAAGGATGCAGGATTGGCACATCAAAGGAAAACGCCGATGCAAAGCTGCGGCTGGCTGCCAGGCTCGCCGCAACTCGTTTAGGTATACGGTTCCGCGTCAAATGATTAGCCCCTTTAAACGGAGATTAAGGGGAATGCCAATAATCGACGTGGCCATTGTATTGTACCAGTCAACCATCCCGCACCGTCTCATGATTCAATATTAGGTATTCATTTCGTATGATAAAGAGACTTATAGCTTTAATCGAAAGGTGTCTTGTTAATGAGGCTTAGGCAAGTAAGCTGAGGTAAACCGTGTTCTAAGAAATCCCTTAACGCCTCCCTGGCGCAGCGTTTACGCCTAGGCTGAAAACACTTATTATCTTCATTATGCAACCTTAGATAACTATCTGAATTTGCCTATAATTACGAATTAGATAAGAATATTAAATAGATTTAATAAAGATTCTAAAGATTTTTAAGAAGACTTATTTTTATAAAATAATATAACGCTTATCTTAAGAGCGTAACTTAGATTTCACGATACGAGACTCGAAGTTTAATTGTCGACGTATGAAATTAAGCTTATTTATAAATTAAGAATCTAAGTTTTAAGATTAATTTAAAATAAATAAATATTATAAATATTAAATTAAATAATTAATTACGAAGTACTTATAAAGTCTTTATATATATTTTAAAGATTTTAAAATATATATAAAGATTTTAAATTAATTAAAATACTTATATAATATTATAATAATAAAGTAACTTTATTTAACGTAATAAGTCGCTTTTCTAACGTAATTAAATTAAAAACTAATCTTTAAAATCTTTATTAAATTTATTTATTCTAAACTCTCTTATTTAATAAAAGAGTTTAAAAATTAGAGATTTAGTCTTATTTTATTTTTTAACGTATATAGAAAACTTCGAAATTCTTAACGTTAAGAAAAGTATTTATTTACTAGAGTTAAGTAATTATAGCTTAAAATTAATTATACGCTAAAAAAATTCGAATTCGAAATTAGTTAAAACTTATAATTATCTAACTTTAAATCTAAATAAATCTACTTTTTTCTCTCTAAAAAGTATATTTTAAAGCTCTTATTTAATTTTATAAAACGTATTACTTACTTTTATTATCGAATATAAACTCGATTTTTAAGAAAATAATTATATTAATATTTAATAATTATAAATACTCTCGAAATTAATAACTTTAATTCTCTAACTTATTTCTTATAACTTTTATAGAAGTAAATTTTATATTTATATAATAAATATTATAAAGCTAAGTCTTTTAAATCTAACGATATAAAAATTCTAAAAATATAATATATAATTATCTTTTTATTAATAATAGAGATATAATTACTCGATTTTTTAAGTTAATATTCGCGTAACTCTAAATAACTTTTTAAAATTCTATTATAATCTTTTAATTCTTAAATATTCTTAATATTTAAAATAAATATAATATAGCGTATTAAGAATTTTAAAAATCGATCTTATAGTTATTTTTTAAAAAAATAACTAGTATTTAAATAATCGAATATTCGCGCGAATTTTAATAACTTTTTATTCTTCTATTATAATTTTTTAATTCTTAAATATTCTTAATATTTAAAATAAGTAAATTATAGCGTATTAAGAATTTTAAAAATCTATTAAAATTCGAATTATATAACTTTTAACGTTTTAATAATTACGTAACTATATTATATAATACGTCTTAGTATACTTATATTAAGTCGCTCTTTTCTTCTATAGAACTCTATAAAAAATAACTAAGTATTTTATCTTTATATTTTAATAAATTATAAGCTCGAGTTATATTCGATAACTATTTTAATAATAATATAATCTATCGCTATAGCTACGATTATCTTTAGATATTTATATTTATTATAATAAAGATAATTATAATTATAGAAGACTTTATTAATCTTCTTAATATAGAAAATTTCTATTTTAAAATAATTATTTTAAGTTTAAATAATTATAATTTATTTATAATTCGAGAGCTAAGAGCTATTACTTAAGCGCTCTTACTTTTTATTCGAGATAATATAAAGCGAATTAAGATATATTATATCTAGTCGAGATTATTAAAATCGCTATATAACTAATTAAATTATAATATCGCTAAAATCTCTAAAATATTACTAGCTTTTCTATATAAAATACGCTAAATAAAAAGATAATACGCTCTTATTTATATATTATAAATATTAAAGAATTAGATAACGAGTATCTAGACTTCGTATTTATTTAATTATAAAATATTTATAATAAAGGTTGAAAACTAGTTATCTTAATTATCGCTAAGAGAAATATAATTTAAAAGAAAATAATCTTAACTTTAACGCTAATTACGTAGTTTCTAGCTATTATTAATAAAAGTATATTAATTAAAAGAATAAAAACTCTAATCTCGAAAAAAAAAAATCTCTATTATTATAAAGAAGCCTTAACGCGAGTATTTATTTTAGAGATAAAATATCTTAATAGTAAGTAAATAATCTTATAATTAATCTCGATCTCGAATTTTAATCGAGTTAATTTTAAAGAAGATAAATAGAGCTTTTAGCTATTAAGATAGCTAATATAACTTTAATAATATAATATTATATCTATATATAAGAGATAAATTTCTATTATTATAATATTCTTAAACTATCTTAATATCTTTAATATTTATTAATTATTTAACTTTTTAATAGAATATTATTCGTTATTTTAAGTATTAATAGATAACGATTCTTTATAAGTAAAGATTTAAACTATATTAAGCTAATCTTAAAGCTTAATAAGATTTCTCTTATACGCTTAAATCTCTAGTATATTATAAGAGATATTTTAATAGCGAGAGTAAGTATATATTAAGCTCTCTTATCGATTTTAATTTAATATTAAAATAATTTATTTTTAAATCTCTATTAAAGTTAATCTCTAATAAAGATCTTTTTAATTTTTAAGCGCGCTCGATTTTATTAATATTATCTACTTTAATTATTTCTTTAAATCTTATTAATATATAAATTTTATTCTTAAATTTAAACTTTAATAGAGCGAGTTTATCTAATTTATTCTCTAATAAAAAGAGCTTATTAAGTCTTTAAGTATTATATCTTTTAAGAAATTTAAAATCTTAATCTTTTTAAATTATCTTAATAATATTAATAAGTTTAAAAATATCTTTAATTATTAAATCTAAAAATAATAATTTAAGAATAAATTAAAGTTATTTAGATTATAGCGCTATATCGAAAAAGACTATATAAAATTAATTATTAATATTATTATTATTAAAGTCTAAATCGATAGCTAGCTATAGACGTAAGATTAAATCTATATTATATTAAAATCGCGCTATAAAAAGAACCCATATTTTAAAATTAAGAATAAGATTAATATTAAAAAAGTCTAGAAGACTCTAAATAAGTTTAAATTTTAAAATTTAAGTATTCTTAATTTTATATTTAGAAAGATAAATAATATTACTTTTATAAGATATAATAATAATCTTTAATTCTATATTAATAGATTTATAAAGATTCTAAATAAGTTTAATAACTTATTCTCGAAATTAAAGTTCGATAAGAATTAAACTACTTTTATTTAGGCTTAAATTTTTTATATAATTTATACTATAAATAGTATAATTAAAATTATAATATTTTTAAAAATAATAATATCGTAAAGTTTAATCTAAATTACGCGATTACTTAATTTATTAATATTATAATTAATTTTATTAACTTAATTAATATTAAAGCTTATATACTAATTACGCTAATTAATAAATTCTTTATATATAATTTATAAAGCGTTATTATATTAATTATTATCGACGAAGCTATTAAGTATAAAATTTAATAAAAAACTTATATTAATAACTTTTATATTTAAATTTATAAATATTATAATTATTATAAAAAGAATTAATATAACGATATTAAATATATTATTCTATATCTTAAATTTAAGAAATAAAATAATAATAGTAATAGAGAAGATTATAATAATTATAAAGATTATAATAATTATAAAGATTATAATAATTATAAAGATTATAAAATTAATTATAATAATTATAGTAATAAAGATAATAATAAAGATAATAATAATAATATTATTATTAGCTTAAATAATAAAGATAAAAATACTTAAAATAATAAGTTTATTATTAATTATTAATTTAATAATATTAAGATTATTATTATATATATCTAATTAGTAATAGCGTATAATTTTATAATATATATTAATTCTAATTTAAAGAATATTATATATCTTATTATTAATTCTTAATTCTTATAAAATTAAGTTTATTATTTCTTTATTAAAAAGAGCTTAAAGACTATAACTTAAACTTCTTCGATATCTATAATCGTTATATTATTATATCTATAATTTATTAATAATATCTATATTTAATATATTATCTATAACTTTTTAATCTTTTAAATTTTTATCTTATTTAAATTATATCGTTTAATTAATAAAGTTAATAGCTTAGTTATAACTATTAACTTTAAGCGTATTAAGTTTAAATATAAGAGTTTTAAAGATAAATAAACTCTATATATAAAAGATATCTAATATATCTCTAATAGTAGCTTTAATCTAATTTTTTAAAAATAACTTAAAAATTAAAACTATTCGCTTTAGCTTATATTTAAGAATATTAAAATAGAGAAATATAATATTATTTTTAGACGCTAGCGTAATCGTCTTTATACGCTAAATATATAAATAAAAACTCTTATATACTTAATAGTTATTAATAAAGATATTTCTATCTATAATAAGTTTATTATATCTATATCTATATCTAAATC